TGTATTATTTTTGTGAAATTCACACCTTTACTGATACGGCCAATCTCAACAACAGTAAGTTTTAACTTTGTCTTATAATTTTCAAAATCTTTGTAGAGCTTTTCCCCGAAGATGATAATAAATTTGACCAAAATATTGGAATGACTTGTGTACACTTCTCTTCTGCTGGTCACCCAAAGGTACTTTCCCTTATGTTGTTTGGAAGCATATAATTAATGTAGAGTATAATCATCTGAAGAGTAATTATACCCTTCAGGAAATTATAGCCATTGGTGAAAAGGAAGCAGAATAAAAAGATAATATTTACATAATAAATTATTTATATGGTGAAAACCAAGTCATGAACATATTCAAGGCAAAATGTGAGAACATATAAATTACGAAGATATAATATTACAGCATACTATAGATTAAACTTTGTTACTTGAAGACATACTCTACAAGCTCCACCGAACCCTAAAAATTGGTGTTGTTCCATTGAATGATTTTATATAATTTTACTAAAAAATAAAATATTTTATGCAGTGAATATTGTTTATTTCTCATCTATAGCTTATTTTGCTTTTTCAAGTAATGGAGGTTATAATTTACGTCTACAGTTTACTTTCTCCAAAAAAAATATTGTTTTTAAGACCCTGATAATTAATCCTGTGTAATACCACCATTTATTATATGGAAGAGAACCTTCATCTAAGTTTCAGAAGTCATTATACTATAATAACTTGAGTTTCATATAAAAGAGTTGCGATTGGTCTTATCCCGGCAACAGAATGGTATTTTTCAGTTAATATTTAAGTTATAAGTGTTATAAAATCAAGTAGCATGGATACTCACTTGACATCATTATTGTACTTCCACAAGTCCAACTGACTTCAGGAAGACATATTTTCTTTAAATACGGAGCTCAACTTCAGAAGCTCCTTCTAGGAGAAATACTTCAACTAAGATTTTTTTTTCATATGTATGTAGCTGGCAAATTAATAATCTATCGTTCTACAGGCCGTGTCGCTTCGAGAGACTTCTCTATCGGCTTCCAGATACTTGCGTTGCGATATATAAGCACTACCAACAGGCAGATGGGAAAAGTCTAGTTGAAAGTGCGGTACGAAGTGAGCTTATTTTTTTGTTAAGGACAATGCTATGTGATTGACGGCAGTACGTAATGACATTTATTCGCTTATAAATAGTAGATTAAACACTGAGAGATGTGCTCTCAGTAATCATGTTTTTAAAGGTCACAAGATGGGTTTTAATTTGACTAAAATCTTGACAATTGAAAAAATGATAAATGTATCAATATAAGGTCAGATATTAACCACCACAGAAAAATATATGTCTTTTTGCTAGACATTGATGAAAATATACACAGATTTCAAGGTAGAAATGATTTTGAAACTTTGCCAAAATAAATTATAACTTTCACTTCCTCTCACATTTGGTTAATGAGTAATATAATTTGTTTCTTTAAATAGTACATTACAATTTAATTATTGAAGTTCATTCGTTACTTGATATATTTTCTTGATAAAAAGTTTCTTTTCACATAACAAAGAATTGTAATGTTCTAATNTTCAATGGGTTGTTTATGGGCTCAACTCAAATAAAGACAACCCCAGATATTGAGCTGGACCCAATTGCGCCTGAATAGGATGCAGCGGCCAATAAAGAAATAAGAAGAAGAGCATATGGTATTATACCGTTAAATTATATTTCAAATATATTCGGATGGTTCATCAAGACTTTTCATGTAATCATTGTGCTTTAGTAAGAAATCAAGCTATTTTAACTTGTGACTTGTCCTATTGTACTGACATGTATTATTTTTGTAAAATTCACACCTTTACTGACACAGCCAATCTCAACAACAGTAAGTTTTAACTTTGTCTTATAATTTTCAAAATCTTTGTAGAGCTTTTCCCCGAAGATGATAATAAATTTGACCGAAATATTGGAATGACTTGTGTACACTTCTCTTCTGCTGGTCACCCAAAGGTACTTTCCCTTATGTTGTTTGGAAGCATATAATTAATGTAGAGTATAATCATCTGAAGAGTAATTATACCCTTCAGGAAATTATAGCCATTGGTGAAAAGGAAGCAGAATAAAAAGATAATATTTACATAATAAATTATTTATATGGTGAAAACCAAGTCATGAACATATTCAAGGCAAAATGTGAGAACATATAAATTACGAAGATATAATATTACAGCATACTATAGATTAAACTTTGTTACTTGAAGACATACTCTACAAGCTCCACCGAACCCTAAAAATTGGTGTTGTTCCATTCGAGTTAGTGTTGAATTGGAATAAGCTTTTCTCCAGCCGTAATAGCCGGAAGAGGTGCTTCAACAGTGAGAACACCATCCTTGCTCAAAGAACTCTTTATTTGTTCTGGATTTGTTCCTTTAGGTAACAAAAACTCTCGGTTATATTCTCTATAAACCGATTTTGATTCCGACTTCTCCTCGTGTTTGGCGTGAACCTGAAACATAAAATGAAACTATATAGAATTTCTGTTGAAAATCACACATCAAAAGGTGAGACCTCGTTAATCTTTAGCTCAAGCAAGTTTTGAACCTTTGAATAGTCGCATGAAATTTTATGGCATCAGTACTCGCGCCGATTTGTCAGACTGGGTTTCAATAATTCATTCATTCATTTTTTCTTCAATTTCAATAAAATATCATGTGAAAGGAATTGTAGATTTTGTTATGAGGACGTCCAGGAATAGAAAGGAGTTATTTTCAAATCCATAATGCCATATAACAGATGACACGAAGTCAACAAGGTAGGTGTAGAATGTAGTATATATTATATGAGAATAATTTGTGACTGGTTTCAATATAAATCGATTTATTTCATGAGGTAACATTCGGATTGGTAGGGCTGTTAAAAAGAAGTCTCTGTGATATCTGTCAAGCTTTTGGAAAATTTATTACCTTCGTCAGGACAACTAAAATAGACTACAAGATATTTTTTAGATACAAACATGACACACTCACTAAGGAGAGAATATAACTTTCTCTTATTTCTCTCGTGTTTAAGTATCTGAGCCATTTATTAAGTCCGACATGAGTCGAACTTTAGACAAAACCAGATGGAAAACTGAAGCTTCTTTTCATGCATCGAGAAACTCTTGTTAAGTGACTGACTGCACTATGAAGAGCATTATTTGCTAATAAAGAGTAATAATATAAAACTAGGTAACCCCATTTATTGTCAAACCCGAAATAATGATACATATACGAGGGTTGCCTTTTATACTTTGGGATTAGAGGACAAAAACCAATATTATTCATCGAAAATCACTTTATTGTCTTTCAATATATTCCCCATGAAGATTTATACACTTTTGCATACGTTTGAACCAATTGTCGAAGCACTTTTGCCACTCTGATTAATGTATCTCCAAAACATGCATTCTGAATGCAGCAACAGCTTCTTCAGGTGTCGAAAAACGTTGACCTCTCAGTTTGTTTTTTACGTGCCGAAATAAAAAGAAGTCATTCGGTGCCAAGTCAGGACTATACAGCGGATGACTCGTCAAATCGATGTTTTGGGTGTTCAAAAATGCAGTTGTTTGAGCCGATGTGTGAGAGCTCACATTGTCGTGGTGAAGAGTGATCCGTCTTCAGCGGTTGGTTTTCCTGACTTCTTGGAAGACAACTGGCAAACAAATGGTTGTGTACCACTCAGAATTGACTGTTCTACGTTGTTCTAGTGGTACAGTCGCAACATGTCCAGTTCATGTGGAACAATTGTATAAGTATATACATCTACCAGCAAAGTTTCTAGGCACATTTGTCTTTGAGTCCACATACGAAGAGTATTGGCCTCTTTTTTTTTAAGAGACATCAGTGATGGGGAATTGAACGGACTGACTGATGAAAAAGACTAGATAATCATATCGAAAAAAAAAACGATGATGGAATCCAATGAACGAAACGTTCCATTGAAAATTGGTTCGTACCGAATCATAACAAGCATGAGAGTGAAAAAAGTTTCACCGACTCATTTTCATATTATTTTGAATGAAGGTGGTAGAGCCAACTAAAGTAGTTTTTTGCGAATATCCCAAAAATGGCAATTGACAGCCGCTTTCTTAAGATTTTTATTGTCTCTTCAAATAGACAACTTTTGTTTAATTCTGCCAACGTTGTGAGTCTTACTATTTCTGAGATAGCTAGGAAAATAGGAGGAGCTGAAGAAAACGAAATGTAGCTTTTGGAATTGTTGTAAATTATCCCTTGAAATCGTCGTTCGACTGTGACTTGGCCAAGGTCGCGCTCAACCCTACTTGTGCTTCTCGATCTTTCTAGTTGTCGCGTGGCTTCAATAATATTCCTATCTTCTTCGGAAGAATTCCATCGTGATATATAAGTACTATCAACAGGCAGAGGAGACTACTCTAGTGGAAAGTGCGGTACGAAATAAGATAATAAGACGATATACATTCAAGTATTAGTCTGAAGTTCAGTTAAAGCCTTTGTGTTGTATCGACATCGCAGTAGTGAAATAACGTTGAGTTTAATTGAACAGCATGGTCAATTATTGTCGAACACACGAGGAAAACGTAACAGTATTTTCAATTGAGTTCCATCGAATTTCTCGCATGATTTTTCTGTTGATGTTAATTTTCGAAATTATTAGTAAGTTAATCTATATTCAATCTTCATCACCTTGTTAATCGACAGTTTGTAGTTGTCCTGAGGAATGTATACACATACCGAAAGCTTGACAAAAACAGTTTTACTACTTGGGACTGCAGCCCCAAGAAAACATTTCTTTACAATATAACCAGTCAATTCCTGCTTAATTGTGTATATAGCGTACACTGCCACAGTCACTAGAGATGGATCAATTATTTCTACACAGATACTCACCAATAATTTGTTGTCTACGGTTTTAACTACAATCTCTTCTGGTGCATACTGACTAACATCAAATCTCAATTTGAGGCATTTACTGTTTCCATCTTCTTGAATAAGCGGCGAATTCAGATCATCATACCATGTCTTCACATCCCCAGAGGGAACTTTTTGCGCTACATCAGATCCTGTAGTTGACTGCGTGGTAGTGCTGAAATCAAATAAACCAATATTGAGATCAATTTCATCGTCATCCAGTTTCATGAGAAAATTGACTAAACATTTCTAAATCGAATTGATTAAATTTATTAAGTTTTAGTTATTTCCGTTCATTAAAAAAGATCATATATTCTAGAGAGGCTGGATATTTTCCATAATGAAGTCAAATTACTTTAATCATTTTCATTTAAGTAAATATAGAGCACAGTTTTTTTTGTACCAGAAATCATTTGAAAATTTACAGTAAACAGTTGCTGAAAGTGGTGGAATTTCTGTACATTTATAAAATCATAGTTATATGTGTCTGAACAGTGATACAGTACATTTTTCTATTTTAATATTTTTGACATGACACATGGTTTTGACATGACAGATGGCCGTGACATGCCCTCTTGGCGTCCATTAGAAAGGTTTCTTCTGAATATATTGACTGTTATCGATTTACACAACATAACGTATGTTGGTAAACGACCAGATGGCATGTCTCTCATACCATGGAAATACGGTAAACCTGTGGTATGGGACTTTACTTGCGTTGACAGTCGCGGCTTCCCATCTAGCCGAAAGTTCCAAGCCCGCTAGAACTGCAGCATTGTCTAGCGAGAAATTGAAAAGGAAAAAATACCAAAATCTTGGAAACAAACATCTGTTTCATCCAGTAGCGGTTGAAACTTTTGGTGTTTATGGCCCGGAGTCTCTGTTATTCGTTCATGAACTCGGAAGGACAATAGGCCAAGCAACGAAAGATCACCGTTCTACCTCTTTTTTGATAGAAAGAATTAGTATTGCTATTCAACGTGGCAATGCTGCTTCAGTACTTGGAGACCTATTCCTCCTTCACATAATTTTGATGAGATCATGCACTGCCCTAATTTCAGTACGGAACTGAAACCTCTTCGAAACAAGCCGAGATATGTGGATATTTTATCAAGGTTAATTCACAAGTGATTGATCCACCTTCTTCTTTTTCAGTGCGGTCAGTGGACTTAGGTCATTCTTGCCCCCAAAAAATGAGTTGCAGTCCTCGTAGAACTGGTACCCTTTCAGTGGAAGAGCTTCTTGAAGCAAGAGCCGAATCGATCCCTCTACGAAACCCTTCTTCGAGGGTCGATCGCAGCTTGAAAAATGGTTCTTATGGAGATTCTGTGAAACGTGTTCTTCCTTACGAATCAGTAGAGAGTTGTCCTGAAAATCTAGAGAAGAAAATTGGATTGGATAAATTAGGAAACACTTGCTACATGAATAGCATTTTACAAGTGTTGTTCATGACGAAGAATTTCAAGAACGAAGTTTTAATGATGAACGAGAACGGGAATGTTTCCTACTTATTCATCAAACTCAAACAACTGTTCATGCAGCTGCAGTTTCGTAAGAAGGTATCATCTTTCCCTCCAACCGATTTCCTGGAGTCTTTGAAGTCCACTAGATACTCGTTAGGACAACAAGAGGATTGTTCCGAATTCTTGGGGCTTAACAGACCGTAAATATTATATAGCACCGAAAAAGAAATCGTTCTAAAGAAATAGAAAATACAGAGTGTTTTGGAAAAAGTTAATACCAAGGTCCCCTGAGGACAGTGAGAGTTTGAGTACATCAGACATGACTTCTGTTGATACATCATCAGATTCTACTTTTTCTGGAATATTAGTTGAAAACTGGAACCCGAAAAACAATATTGAGCGAAGATCTATTCACGTCATAGAGAAATGTCTTGGAATCCCAAGGTACTCTTTATTTATTATAGAACTTTTATCTCAAAAATGCCAGTTACCCAGATTTGATATATACATTACTTTGAAGAAAATTAAATTGAATTGACATATAGCAGCGATTCATAATCTTCAACTACAGGCCTGGTTGCCACCGCTCCTAAAATTCCTAGTCCAGCCGCTTCCTTGGCTAAAGAGTCGGCATTGCGATTACCTTTACTCTCCTGTCGTGCCCTTTAATCCACCCCAGGATAATGTTATTATCTACCGAGCCGTTGGCTAAATCTTGGTAGCACCCTAGTACTAGCTCTGAGGTAACACGTCTGTTCAAGGCTAATAGGGCTTGTCTGCTATCAGTGCAGATTATGTTTTTGCCAGAAATTCCATCCCTGGTTATGTCTTTTGTGGCGATTGAGATACTAGCTGGTATCTGGAACATGCCCATCTCAGACCTAAAAAGCTCTTATATTTCAAATTTTAGCTTCCTAGGACTTACCAGTACGGCGAAACAGGCGTGAACGAGAGTGACTTTCGCATTCATAAGTAGAGATGCATAAAATGTTACCTATTATTTTGCCGATGAAGTACTCATTCATAAATCCTATTTTTATTTGTTGAGTAAAACAAAATATTTTATCATTTCAATGTCTTGTTTTCAAAACATCATTTCGAAATAATAAATTAGTTTCTATAAGAGAGAAACAACATCGTTTCGCGTATTTTTTTCAGAAGCGTCTGTCTCTATATTTAGATCATGACAGAGTCGGCAAATAATGCTGCTCCATTACACACACACAAATAAATCTACAATAACATGAATGTACATTGTGGTATGTCTCAGTATTTCTCAATTCTTCATTTCGGATTTTTGAGACGCTTGCTTTGGTACATGAATAAATGAGACAATTCGTCACACTTAATTTCAGATACCTAGAATCATTTACTCTCACTTTATGAAAACTGAAATGCACTTACGTAACGAAATGTTAATGAGATATTCTGGAATATAACTGGTCCATCTTTTCCATACCAGTAATTATTAATCGTCATTTGCATTTTCCACAAATGGTCAAAAAATAAAAGGTACGAGACCAAATGTATGTATTTGATTTTTCACTTCAGTCCTACGGTGGCTGAAACATGATTACGGTTTTTTTTTGTCAAAAAAATTACGAAAAAGCTATGAATTATTCTTCCACAATACCGAACGTGTATTACTTTTCGTAAACGGCGCATAAGTTCATGATAATATTCCTTATTGATCGTACGACCATGTGACAAGAACTCGTGATGCACTACGCCACGGTAATCGAAGAAAACCGTGAGCAAAACCTTGACATTTGATCGAACTTGGCGTGCTTTTTTTAGTCTTAGCTCTTCTGGGCTCTTCCATTAGGACGATTGGACTTGGTTTCGATTTCATAACCATATACCCATGATTCCTCACTAGTTATGACCCTTTAAAGCAAATCTGTATTGCCGTTGACGTCATTCAACAATGGTCTCATTCAGGCTAATTTGGTTTTTTATTGAAAATTATATATTATAAAAGTAAATCATCTCCTAAGTATCCCACAAAATTTTCAGGTTTTTATGTCGATTAACAACTAAGCAAGAGCAATTGAAAATGCGGTACATCCTGACGTCAGGCAATGAGCTTTGGCATCCGGGCCTGTAGTTGGAGATTATGAATCGCTGCCATCGTCGGATTTTGTTTCATTTGCTGACTGGTTTGAAAACACCACGTGTTACATATTCACGCAGTTGATACACTGCAGTAAACAACACACAACTTGCTTTCTACGGCTTTTGTCACACGTATTTCGCTTATCCGCCAGCACTCCCTTGTCGCCGAGTCAACTGATATGACGTCAAGCTTGACCACATTCAACTATTAATTTGAGGGGGAAGATAATGAGTGAAAATTCAGATTTTTTGCAGTTGTACTATTTGGAATCTAAACTTTCAAATAATGTAATAAAAAAAATGTTAAATGAGTCCATTCCTGAGCGGTGCTCATGAAACGATTCTATTGTTCAAAATTCAGCAGTTTTAGAGCGAACTTGCTGCCACAAAATCCCCAAAATTCACGAAAAAATTTCATGTATGTATGTAGTGCTCATCAAAATCGTTGAATCTTCGTACAAACCAACAACTCGAAGCGAATCACTCAACAGTTCGCGTGCTCTTCACAATTTTCAGCACATAGATCTCTGCTGTCTAGTTTCCCTGTCAGATCTTTTCTACACATCATTACCATCGTATCAGAGAACACCTTAACAACTAAGCAAGAGCAATTGAAAATGCGGTACATCTTGACGTCAGGCAATGAGCTTTGAGCTTTGGCATCCGGGCCTGTAGTTGGACATTATGAATCGCTGCCATCGTCGGATTTTGTTTCATTTGCTGACTGGTTTGAAAACACCACGTGTTACATATTCACGCAGTTCGACACACTGCAGTAAACAACACACAACTTGCTTTCTACGGCTTTAGCCCACGTATTTCGCTTATCCGCCAGCACTCCCTTATCGCCGAGTCGACTGATGTGACGTCAAGCTTGACCACATTCAACTATTAATTTGAGGGGGAAGATAATGAGTGAAAATTCAGATATTTTGCAGATGTACTACCCATTTGAAACATAAAAACATAAATTGTTAAATGAGCTCATTCCTGAGCGGTGCTCATGAAACGATTTTATTGGTCAAAATTCAGCAGTTTTAGAGCGAACTTGCTGCTACAAAATCCCCAAAATTCACGAAAAAATTTCATGTATGTATGTAGTCCGCGAAATTTGAACATACGCCTCATTTTTTGAACAGACCAATCTCGTAATGCAGCATTCTCGATAACAAGCCAAGTTCACTTGCCTATGGCCAAACGACGCAGTATTTAAAGTATCGACGAGTCTATCGACTCAGTGCTCATCAAAATCGTTGAATCTTAGTCCAAACCAACAACTCGAAGCGAATCACTCAACAGTTCGAGTGCTCTTCACAATTTTCAGCACATAGATCTCTGCTGTCTAGTTTCCCTGTCAGATCTTTTCTACACATCATTACCATCGTATCAGAGAACACCTTGTACTACATCGAATGTTTCAAGTAGACAATCAACAACATTGACATACTTCAGAACATCTTTGACATCTGCCGAGGAAATTTAAAAATGAGGAGAATCAGCGAAAAAAGTGCTTATACTTAGGTTTTTTCAGGAGGATTTTAGCCTCCGATCGTTAAGATACGTTTCTGTATAATTTCATAGCTCTTTTTCTGAAAGT